CGTATCCTTGTAGAGTCCTTGTTGCGGGACCCGTCGAGGTGGGTCGGTTCACACTCTCAAGTATTCTTTTATTTCATCAGCCATCTTTCTTCTCCCCACCGTTTATTTATAACATCATGTATCGTTTCCCTTCTATTTCACTGCCCCCCCCCTGTATGCTGGAATGCCCACCCATGTGTTTGCTGTGCATGGCGACTTCTGCCGGAGGGGAATGTGTCCTAGCGGTTCGAGGGTCCTGTTTGTTTCCCAACTACTCCCCTTGCGCTACTTTCTTTGCATCAATGGTACTGTTATTTACGAATTTTGTGAAACATTCCTTGTAGATTTTTCAATATACTTGCCTTGGCCTCGAACTCTTCTAGAGTTGCAGTCAGGAGCTAACCCATTCCCGGTCGATCTACTCAAACTAGATCTTGTAATGAAGTCCATGGTAAGCGAGGGATCCACGGCGGGCAGTGCTGTGTTTTCCCCCGCTATATCTCCAAGGCATCCCTGGCACTTCCGATGGAGTGTCCCCTTGATGGGCTATGCGGCGAGTGGGGCAACGGGAATGTATCTGATTTCCTCTCCATGGTACCAAACCTTCCTTCCCGCCTACTTCCGCAAGGAAAGATCTGTAGGGTGAAACTAAATCTGGACAGTTTTTTTGACAAAGAAGGATAGACCAAACAACGCCCCTTTTCCTCATGTTAGTAATGTTGAAACAATGAAAAGTGTAAATGGTATTAAATTCGCCAGAGAAATAGAAACATTTGGCAAGTTTCAGACGGTGGTTCGACAGAAACGCACTATCCTTTTTTGAATGCTGCACTGACGAGCAGATCAAGAAAGTCTTTAATCTCAAAGAAATAGCCCGGCCTTAGGTGGATGTGTTCACCCACCTTACCTTAAACCTCTGCAAGGATATGGTGATCATGAATATTTCGCATCAGAAACGGAGAAAGACCTGAAAGTCTTCCAGCCTGAAAGGTTGGACGGACATTACAGGATCCAGGGAGTGTGAATGGGTACTGATGCCCTACCTCAACGCTAATACTGACATTCGATCGTCCATCTCCACCCGAGAGAATGTCATATAGCTACTACAATCTCCGGGACAGGCAGTATGTATCAAATCATCTGCTGCTTTACAATGCCAGAGAGATTCGTTCATATGCATCCCTGTTGCATGATTGCCGCAGTGTGCGTAAACTGTGGAAAATAACCATGTAAACACATTCGAACTGCTCCGCAGATCCAAGGTACGTGAACTGCTCTGGAATCGGCCATCGAACTTGAAGCATTGCCCCATCTTGAAGGAACGGGAGATCCAGAGATCAGGAACTAAGAGAAAGTTTTCCTTTCCTTAGGCACGACGTCGATACCAGATGTGTAGCTCTAAAACATGCAGTCGACGTTTCGCTGACACAGAAGTTCCTCTGTGCGCGCTGCTACCTATCAGATGTCCGTACTTTGGCGACGTTACAGATACCTTGCCTTGTTTGTGAAACAATGAAGGAAACGAAAACTGTGTTTCGACAAACACTAAGGCTCCAAGCTAGAGAAATCCTGGCCAAACACCCTATTTCTAGATCCAGATCGCCTGTATCAAAAGGCCGAAGGCTCCCGAAATAACTCTCTCTAGCAGTAGTCAAAACCACTCTACAAGGAGCGAGGACCCCCACATGAACTCGTACATCACTCCAATAGAGAAGGAAAAAAAAACCCGATACATAATTCCGCTTAGAAGTAATGAAACTTCATCATCCTAAGCGCCAAAAGTGTCTTGTCGCTGCCGCCATGGAATTGTCCTCCGTTGTTCTTATCAATTGTAATTGGTTTGAAATTCTAAAATTGTTTTATTTAGCCCTCCCTCTTCCTTTTTTCAACTATTTATATTCCAAATTAGTGTTTTAGAATTCGTTTATGCTTAAAATTTGTTAAAGAATTGCTTGCCTATCCAAATGTTTCTTAATAAGGATCTCTTCCCTTTCACTTCTCTAAAATTACTTTGCTTTGAACATTTTTTCAGTCCAGGATACCTTCAGTATTTCGCCACAACCACATCTCACAAGCTTCTAAACTACTACTGTCCATTTTTAAAGCGTCGATCCATCACGTTCGTATAAATAGGGCACTCCAGAAATTATGCTCCTCTCGTGGAACCTCAATGGCTTTCGCACACGTGCCAGACGAATTAAGAGCTATAGACGCGTTATCTGCCTGCAGGAAATACATCTTCCAGAGCATTCCATCTTCTCTTCGTGGCATTTGTTGCTGCAGGCAAGACATGGATTTATGGCCTCTGTGCCCATGACGGAGTCGCTACACTTGTCAACGGCTCCCTAGTGTCCAAAGAAATATACGTACGAACTACTCTTCAGACATCTTGAGTTTTGTGAGAAACTCCGACACTATCTCAATAAACTATTTGTATCGTCTATATCCCGCCTGGGTGCCACAAGAACTGGATGTGTTTTCTCAGTTGCTCGCCCCCTTTTCTTATTGTGAGGGAAATTTAATGCCCACAATCCCGCGCTGGATGACGAGGACCTGCCCGAGACTGAATATACGTGAAAATATTGACAATCAAAACGTTTTTCTGAATACTGGTGAAAGCACATTTTTCCGTGGCTTCAAACATTTTCCCGCCCGCTTGATCTGGCCCCTCTGCCATGTTCAAATGGACTATCCTTGGTGACCTGCATGACTCTGACCACTTCCCCATTTCTGCTCATTTTGATATTCCTGACTTAAACGTTGCCCATCCTGGCTGGCTATCCCACCGTCCTGAGAATGAATACGGAATCGGAAAAACTGCCCTAAACGATATTGATGCTACGGTTGCCTATTTTCTGGTACTGCTCTTTATTTGCCGTGGTCGGGGCCGGCGGGGAGGGTAGAGTGGGAGGGGGGCAGGGCGTATAACAACGCGCGTCATTTGTTGGTGGATGCCTTCAGCCGCAGTGTCATATATTATGCGGTAGCGTACAATGATGTAAGTGGACTAATTTTTTGCATTGCACGCGGCGATTCGGTGAATCGTCCGGATAATTATAATAAAACACCGCTTCACTACGCTTTCCGCGCAAAAGCGTGGACGGCAGTCAACCTCCTAATATTTGCTGGAGCGAATGAAATGTGTGTGGACGATATGGGAAAGACGCCGGAGGACGATGGCCGTCTTCCGCCAGCTTCTACAGACACCCTGTGCGTGTGCGAGCCAAACGGATGTGCACTGTGCGTTCGTGCGCCGCAACATTGTATTGTGGACATGCCACTACACGTCTACAGGGAAGCCATCCGGGAAGTGCGGTCCACGTCCCTTGCACCAGAGACGACGACGCCTCCATATGAAGATGTCACCTGTGGTGGAGCCGTCCTCGACACATTATAAACCTGTCACCGCCACCACCTCCTCCGCTACTGCCCATCATGCGCTTACAGCGCGGTAGCGACATTGAGTGGCAGGCTACAGAATTTTCACGTCTCTCTCTTTGTTGCAGATGATTCTCACACACCTCCAAGTGTTCACGTTTTGTCTTTTAAATTTATTTCTTTTTGTTTTCAATTTTTGTATTTGTATTGAATAGCATAGAATTTTGTATTGGGTAGCATTTTAATTTAAATGTGTGACTGACATTACATTCTGATTTTTTCCTTTGTACGGTGAACTCCACCATCTCTTGTATTTTGTTAAGAAATAAAGGTCACGTTGGACAACAATTCTCTCTCTCTACCACCAGACAGCCCTACTCTCCTGGAGGAGCGTCCCGGGGTGGGGCCCTAACTTGCATGGCGGGGGTGAGAGGTGCGGTGGAGTGGGGAGGGTGTGTGTGGGAGGGGTGGGCGTAGGCGGAAGGAGTGGGTGGGGGAGGGCTTTAAAAAATTGTCGGATAGGCTTGGGATCGAACCAGCGATGTGATGAGTCGGCGGCGGTGCCTCTACCGCCTGAGCCACGGCGGCACGGTTGGCGAAAAGCGCTGCGACGTGGTATGGTTGCTTCGCTGTGCGCCGCTGCGGCTGGACTAAGAATAGCATGGCTCTCCGCGCGATCTATGAGCAAAGCGGCGCGCGCGCTCGCAGCGCGATCTATGAGCAAAGTGGTGCGCTGGCCCGCTGCCGACCGTGGCTATTCATAGCGTTGGCCCGCTGTCGATCTCCGAAGGCGCGCGGCTACGTAGCGTTGTTCATTTCACCATTAACTTAGTGTTGCTAATTTCACCCTCATCACACAATGAATAATGTTTTATTGATATTTAAATTTATTGGTAAAACCTTTTTGTTTTCTGAAGAGGATAGAGTGAGCTGTTGTATTTTTAATTTAAATGAAATAATTTTTTAATAAATGAAAGGCTTTGTTTAATTGACATTGTTTACATAATTGCGAGTAAATAAACAACATAAAATAAGAATGTAATGAATTACAAAAAGTTATTCATTTTGGCAATTCAACTTTTATAATTTTAAAAATAATTCATTAAAAATAATTGATTACTATACTCTTTTGTTTTCTGGAGAGGATAGAGTGAGGTGTATTTTTAATTTAAATGAAATAAATTTTTTAATAAATGAAAGTCTTCTTTTTCTTGTCGTTGTTTTACATAATTGCAAGTAAATAAACAATATAATATAAGAATGTAATGAATTACAAAAATTATTCCATTGACAGTTCATCTTTTATAATTTTAAAAAATTAATTTAATTTGTGAATGTGTTTTAAATATTGCAAAGCATAGTGTTTACGATTTCTCCAACATTCTGGTTTCATTAAATTCTTGCTTTCGGTAATGAGAAGCATCATGCTCTGTGTTAATTTTATCCGACAAAATGCAATGGGCTTTGCCGCAAGGAATGTTTCATACGTTTAAACATACAAAATTTCAACGATAAACAAAAAAAAATCAAGAATAGTAATGCAACACTAACATATTAATTAAAATATGTTTCATGAGTGTTTCAAAATGATTCTAAAATTGTAATGCATTCATATAATATTTAGTAAAATACATGCAATAATTTTATATAATTTAAATATAATTTTCTAGATACCTTTATGGTAGGAAAACGTCATACATATTTGCAATGGTCACAGCGAAGCTTTCATTATTGTACGTCTGAGATTTAATTTTTCTAGCACTGGTTATTTGAAATCCCACTCCTTTGGGAAAATCGTCCCATTTTTTTTTGGATTCCGTTTACCCTCACTCATTTTTATCAGCATCTCCCGTGGATTTCTACATAAAAATTTTATATTTTTATTGATGTATTTCTTTAAATTTTTAATAATTTTTTGTTTTACTAACTGTTCAGCTGGTGGTGGTGGTGTATAAATAAATTTTGGACAATCATTGTTGTCTTTATCTCGGAGCTGACTTTTGATCGATCACAATCTTTGTTGGTGAAGGAGAATGAGTTGTAAAAGATGGAAGATTAGGATGAGAAATCTCTGCTATTTGTGATACTATTTCTGAAGGTTGGGGGGGAGAAGTGTCTCCCACTTCTGATGTTAAAAGCGCAAGGCGGTACGCTTCTTCCTCGTCATTCTCCACTTAAGTGAGATCAACAGCATCAAAATCAATTTCAGCAACAAAATCAATGTTCTTTCTCGTAATTCACTTTCAAAATCGACGCGTCTGAAAAATAACAAAAAATGAAAGTAACTTATAAATTACAACGCTAAGCCATAAAATATATCAAGTCACTTATAAATCTTACCTCTTTTTCATTTTCTTCGACGGAGTTTGTCTCACTGCGAACAACGTTTTTGAAGAGACATTTTCACATGCAGTCAGCACAAAATTGATGCGTAGTGTGTGTAAGACATCGATTTATATAGTTCCTCCGTGCTCCCACCATTAAGTTCCCGCAAGGGGCAATGATAAAATATGAAAATAGCGTGTCGCATCGTGCCAAGTCTCTATGAATAGCCGAGATCGGCAGCGTGCCAAGACCGACGAGCAGATGTCGAGGTGCGGGAGGCCAAGGCCGCTCGAGGTCGGCAGCGAGCCAAGACAGATGTGTCTATTTACCGCCGCGTCCGAGGTCGGCAGCGGCCCCACTGCGTGACCTGACGTCGGCAGTGAGCCAAGACCGCCTCGCCAGTGGAAGGCAGCGAGCCAAGGTCGACGACCTGTCTCTTACATAAATGCACGTCCCCAGGCTTCGGGTCGTTAGTCGTGCGTTCGATACGAATCGTTTAGTTGTGACGATCTTCCTCATTACGTGTATTCTTTTCTGAAAAGAATTATTTGATCGATCGTCCATCTGGAATGTAATCAATTATATTCTGATATTTTTATGTTCCTTATTCAATTATTTTCAAATTTTAATAAGTTTATCTATTTCCATTAGATGAAGAAACGTGTTGCATCATTATCAACGCGAGCAGCGTGAGTCTGTGGCTCGACCGTCAGCATCAACGTCACCGCTGCCTCCACCTGCGATTCGTCAAGTCCATGATAACGGTTCTTGACAAACAATGAAAATACATTCATAGCGTTCTTGCTGAATAGTCATTCATTTTTTCCGTGCATTATTTGTTTCTATAGATCGCCGTCAGCATCAACCGCAACAATCAAACAATGCAATTGCTCTCGAGTGGACGAACGTCGTGCGGTCTTTGAACAGTCGGGTGCAGCGTGGTATCATTGCTAATTCTTTAAATAACATCGATCCCCTCACGTTTCTCAATCGTTGTGAAGTTCCGTTCCAACACAAGTTGTTTGAAATGTTCTCTCCATCAAGTCCTAGTTTCAAAATTATTGTACTACTCGAATGTCATTTCATGATTGAACGAGATCATCCGTACGCACGAAATTCTCGGAGAGATACAGCCTATCATTCTAAACGCTCACGCAGCTGTGGTGGCTCAAAGTGATAATATCGCGGAATTTTTTCTCGGCGATTTGTGGATCCAATCAATTCAAAATTCGATGAGTTTAGGAACGAGTAGTGGAAACACTATACAAAATTTCGGCCTTTCATTTCATATTCATCTTTTTGAGCCACAAACACAGCGATCCCGGACGTTGAGTACGCTCACGCGCGGCCGTGTGACGTTTCCATCTTCGAATTTAGCGGAATATCGATTGGTATTTGATCATCGACGTGTTGTTGCTCACCGACGTTTTTGAAACTTTTAGACAATTGTGTTTGGAGGTGTACGGTCTCAATCCCGCATTTTATTACACCGCTCCCGCGCTCTCGTGGGACGCCATGCTTAAAACAACCGACATCACGATTGAACTTCTCACAGATGTTGACATGGTTCTCTTTTTCGAAAAAGGTATCAGAAGCGGACTCGTACACTTAGTCGAGCGCCATGGTGAGGCCAATCACACACATCTAGAAGATTCCTTCAATCCGTGTGATAAGGAATCTTATCTCTCCTGTGTGGATGCAAATAATTTGTATGGCTTTAGTATGCGTCATCCACTGCCCATAGGACGGTTTAAATGGTTGACGGATATCGAATATTGTACGTTCGACCTGAAGCAGGCGGCCGCCCAGACCGATCGCGGATACGTTCTGGAAGTCGACCTCGACTATCCAGACAAGATTCACGATCGATTGAGTGACTTGCCTCCTTGTCCCGAGACGCGGGTGCCCCCCGACACGAAAAGCAAACAAGTCAATTGCCCAAGCGTGCTACGTCATTCATATTAAAATTTAATTAGGCATGGAATTGGCGTGCAATTCTCCAAATTCATGCATTCTTTTTCGACAAAGATTTGGGCTTACACTTACTTGGACTCAACAATTCACGACAATAGCGCGCGTCTCCGATTTCGAAGATAATTTTTTTAAACTCATGAATAATCGTTTAGGAGTCGAATGAGGACGTGCGCAATCATCGATGGGAGGGGAGGTGTGGAGCGCGACGTCTCATCGCAGACCCCGCTTTGTGCGAAGTCACCATGTCAAGGGAGATCTCATGACCATCGAGTTGCTAAAATCAAGTGAAGCTCTTTAAGCCCATTTATTTAGGTTTTTGTATTTTAGAAATTTCAAAATTTAGAATGTATGTATTTTTTTATAAATATTGCAAAGAGCATTTTCGTGAGCTTCACCTTCTTTACATGGGCACCGATTCATTCGTTTACTCTACGTCATCGAACGTGTACGCTGAGATGAATCGGTGTTCAGAATGGTTCGACACGTCCTGCTTTCCTCCTGATAATGCGTTTCACATCACACCACGCAACAAAAAAGTACTGGGACTGTTTAAGGACGAATGTGGAAATGATCCCATGGTTCAATTTGTAGGTTTGGGACCAAAAATGTACTCCTTTCTCGCCCGCTCTCAAGCGACCGTGTCCCGAGCAAAAGGGGTGCAGCGTTCGATTGTCAAAAAATACAAATTGGAAGTGTATATTTCATAATCGCATTAGAATC